TCACAGCAACCTGGAGAAACTGGGATTCAAAGGTGACACGTATCCTCTAAGTTACACAGCAGGTAGATACCATGGGAAGGAAGAAAACCAGTTTAGTCTGGATTTTTGTCATTTGAATCTCAAATTCAAATGTCAGCTCGCCTTTTAATGAGAGGCGATATCGGACTTCAGGCGTTTATGCATTCTGTAACAATCAGATATTGGCTGCAGCTCTGCGGCCTCTGGGAGCACACTGGCTCTAGTTGCGGATTAAAGCCAAATCGACAAATTGGGCAATAAAAAAAAAAATGATAAAGAAAAACTGCGTATAATGCACTTTAACACTATGGAGGGAAACAGTCGAAATAAAATTGGAAGATATTTCTGCGGGGAAAAGAGCAGGGTTAATTTGAGGAGGCTTTTCTTCTCCATAGGAGCCCTGCAGGGCGTCTCGTAAACCCTCTTTTATGACCCTGTTAGGGGCACTGTGAGCCTGGCACCAGGATGTGATGTCACAGGAGGTGACTCTGCAGAGCTGAGAGGTGCGAGAGCTGCCAGATGAAGATGATAAATCTTCTGGACAGCCTCATAACCTGGCTATTCCCACCTGGCTACTGCTGGGATATCATTTCACCCAGTCATAAATATAAAGAGATCACAGGTATCGTATAAATGGATATATTACTGGTTATCTCCAGTTTTGTGGCAACATCTTGGAAGCTTTAGTCCATGAAAATCCACTCTTCATGCCAAACCCTTGGGTCTGGCATTCAGGAGTGGAGACTTTTTTTTTTTACCTTCTTATTCTGGTATTTCTTTGAACTTTGCTGGTACATTGTGTCACAACCTCTTTCCTCCCCCCCTCGTCCTCCCCCTCTCCTGTGAATGTTAATGACGGTCTGCACTCTGCAGCCTTTTTTCCCCCTTCAGAGCATTAAAATCCGCTGCAGTGAACCATAGCATCTCATGGTGTTTTAAATCCAATCAGATCAACTGGATCGCTGTGTGTGACGGAGCGTCAACGGGATATTTTTCATTACTACATACATAAAACATGCAGAATAAAAATAACCTTTGAGCTACAGTATTTAGATAGGTACAGGTTTATCCTGTATTTATGACAAGCAGTGATGCAATAGACTATAATAAATGGAGCTATCTATGGTTGCAAAATATCCAGATAATTGTAAATCAGTCAGAAATAGGCCACTCCTTTTTTCTACTTATGACAAAAACATTTTTAAAGGGATATGATTCTACTAGTTTTCATGTTGAATAGGATCCTACAAAAAATAGATCTACAATACACATATATCTCATTATCAGATCAGTAAAAACAGCTGAATAAAGACCTAATTTTTAGTGAGAGATATCAATTTTATATTGTTTCCAATGTATAACAAACACTGCTGTTAAGGAGGAACTACAGAGGTGAGGTGACAACAAGATCTGACAACATCAGATCTTGTGATAGGGATTATGTGATAAATTTGGCGAGACTGTCTCCAGTCCAACCCTGAATCACAGGCTCCAGGCACAACTGAACGCTTCAAGATAGGAACGGGGGTTGTGTAATCGAGGGAAAGTATTTTGGGATACTCCCAGACATGCCTTTCACCCTGAAGTGGACCACTGTGCACCTCCCCTCTAATCCTCAAAAAGCAACTGCTCAAATTACTGGACGGGAATCATGGCTATTGTAGGCGCTAACACCAGAGGTTGAAGATGAGCTCGTTCTTAATTAAGAAAAAGTGAGTGCAAGAGCAGGCAAAACACTGTGACCTAATGTTACCCAGCTGTTACGTGAGGGCAGCGGAGTGACAGTGGGGTGAGTCGCGGTTCTGCCGCGCACAGATATGGCAACAGCAACAGCAGCAGAGACACAAGCGAGGACGGTCATGTCCATTTTTATCCAGCTGCTTTCTTCCTCTGCATCATCTCTAATTTAGCTGTTACTGATGAGGCAGTTTTAGGTTTTACCAGCAGAACGACACCACAGGGCGTTCTGTGGCTGCCATAATAACTCCAATTGTTTACAGACACAAATATAAGGTGAAAATAAATCAGCTGCAGAGCTCTGATCACACTCACAGAAGGAAGTTATTCATAGATATTCAAACAGCTATCCTAAATACCAAGACTTTTGCCTCTTATATTCCTTCTGAAATCCTATTAATTAGCAACAAGGCATATTATTTTCAATTATAATGTTCATTTTATTTCTGCCACACTGGCTACTTTGAACTCTTTGTTAACTGAGAATAACAGTTTTGAAGGAACTGCTTTGAATGTGTCAACATGGGGAGGGGGCTTGACAATAGTCCAATCTACCAAAAGGGGGCGCTGCAGAAAAAGCTGTGGACTCACCGACAATAGTCCAATCTACCAAAAGGGGGTGCTGCAGAAAAAGCTGTGGACTCACTGAGTCTTCGTTTAATATTGTACAATCAAAACCCCTACATGAGATATTACTGTTGTCTCTGGACAGTAAATGCCACCTGTGTGGTAAAGGTTTAACTGCTCTGTTTGCATTAAACCGTTCAGCTCGTGTAAAAGCCCCAACCTTTTACCAAAGTTGGCATCAAATGTTCCTGCAGTTCAGCCTATGGTTCCGAACTGCCGTGAATGTTCTACTTTCACGGTTTGACTCTGACCGTCTGCTCTGTGCTATTTCACTGAAACTCTTAACATAACAGGCCTCAGCATTCAAGTGTTAAACAGCGTTTGACAAAAATGCGAACTATGACCTGACGGGTACTCTCAGTACGCCGTGTGTCCTGAAGACAAAAATGCGAACTATGACCTGACGGCTCTGGAGTACTCTCAGTACGCCGTGTGTCCTGAGGAGGGTACTTGTAAAGATTGTACTTGTAAGGACTCTCAATCCAAGACTGAGTTATGGGATAGATGTGTTTTTTAATGATCCAGGAAAAAGTCGAAGAAAAGGTGAACAAATGTCAGCTTTTACTTAAAATAAATATAAAAAGATTTTTTGTTCTCTTTTTTTAAAATATTGCCAAATATGTAAATGTGTTGCATTACTCAGTGGTTTACTTTACACATGTTTCTACATTTCCCTCCTCTGCTTCTGCAACTTAATACTGGAACGCCGCCGTTCCAGTAGTAGAAGAAGAGCAGCCTTTGTTTGGTCCCAGCTGTGTCATGTCTTCTTCCCAGACTCCTCTCCTCTGGAGACTCATTTATACACAGTCTAGTCCTAATTTAAACTCGGTACCTTTCTGGGTTCAGGCAGCACACCTTTCATCTCATGACAACTTCATGTTTTTTACTCTAGTGCCGCCTTCTGGCAACAAGATGAACGACGCAGCTGTTAACTTTGTAGTTGTGTTATTATGATTCAGGCTGAATTAGAAAGAAACTCTATTTAGAGGTTTATAACGTGAGGTTGGTTGATTATTGAAGTGTGTTGTCTACCCAACAGCTGTAAAACAAGCTGTAATTTTTATTTCATTTTTTATGATGATTTTTATCTTTGAAAATCCTGTCGTTCTCGTAGCTGTGGGTGGCTGGTGTGATGGATTCTTGTTTCTTCCTGCCACAACAGAAGACTCTTAAAACAACTAAAAAAAAATTAATCACCACCAGAGGAGGCGCCACTGAACTGTCTGTGTGTTTATGTATTGTCAGTATTTTGGTCTGCAGTGTAGCACAGTCAGCGAAAAAGGAGTTGAGTCTTTTTACAAGTCTCTAGGAAAAATAAAACAACGTCCCCTTAGTTTGTCTTTTCTCTTTTCCTAAATTACAGCCCTGACTTCTACGTTTACCTTCTGACCTGCAGCAAACAGTCATTTTTCTTTGGTGGCTCCCTTTGACAAACACCTATGTTTATTTACTGCTCTGTCTTTCAGAGACCTGAAGGCTGGAAACATTCTCCTGGGGGACGACGGTTCTGTTCAAATTGCAGGTATTTAGCCAAAAGGCACAAACACAATTGACCTGACCTGTCGCCGTGCTACAAACCTCCCTGGCCTTTTTATGTTTCCTCTCAAAAAGTTTATGCTTCCTATGTCCACATTTGAGGTGATCATTTAATAATGAATTTAATCTCTCGATATTTAAGTTCTGTTTTGTGTGTTTGCGTTTTTCCTCAGATTTTGGCGTCAGTGCCTTTTTAGCAACAGGTGGCGACCTCACCCGCACTAAAACACGCAAGACGTTTGTGGGCACACCGTGCTGGATGGCTCCTGAAGTCATGGAGCAGGTTGGTCCTCATTGTGAAACAGCTGTTGATAACTCCTATAGTGATGAGCGCTCCACAACCAAGAATTTTATAGCTGTAGTTAAACTTCATCTTCTGCTTCATCTTAGTTTTTTTTTCTCTTTTCTTATTTCTGTTCTTCTTTCTCATCATGTTCTTTGTTTTCTGGACTCCCTTCTAATCGATTTGTTTCCCCTGTTTCAGGTGAAAGGCTATGACGTCAAAGTAGACATTTGGAGTTTTGGTATCACAGCCATTGAACTTGCAACAGGAGCTGCACCTTATCACAAATATCCACCACTGAAGGTGAGAACTGGAGCGAAATCAAATAAACCAGCGTCACCACAAAGGTGTTGTTTCTAATGTGGGGCAGTTTCATCACCTGTTTTTTCTTTCTAAAAATAATATTTGTTTATGTCTTTGTCTTCAGGTGTTGATGCTGACGCTGCAGAACGACCCTCCGACCCTGGAGACCGGCATCACAGACAAGGAGATGGTGAAGAAATATGGCAAATCCTTCAGGAAGATGATCTCATTGTGTCTACAGAAGGACCCAGAGAAAAGGTTCAGGCTCCGCACCTGCGGCACAAGCTTTTAAAGCAAATTAATTCCCTTTTTTTTTTTCTTAAAACAAACAAAAACAATATCTAATACGTGTGGTGACAGAAACTGGAGTTACATGGAATTGAGGTGTTTAGCAGAAAACGCCTGCTGCTGAACAAGGCTGCATACAAATGTTTTTATTGTGCCAAACAGTGACCTCTTTCTCCAGTGGCTGTGTTAAACATAATGACCTAAATGTTCCTGTCACCAGGGAGTTGAAGCTGTGATGTGAATAATTTGTTATTTCTTTTTCTGCTGCCTTTTTTCTAGGCCAACATCCTCCGAGTTGTTGAAGCATAAATTCTTTCAGAAAGCAAAGGTAGGTGTTTGTGCCTCCTCTGGACCTGAGACTGCATTAAATACTCGGTGATTCAGCAGTATCTCTCCGTCAGACCTTTGTTCAGCTCTTTGATCTTTGTGAAATTCTAAGCATTCAAAAGTGAATATTCTAGTCTGCATATTTGGTGTCAATGTCTCGTCATTGTATTAAGTTACTGCGGAGAAAGACTTCAAAGCATTAAGTGTTGGTGTGATTCAGTTTAATTCAGTCCTGCTTGGTTATTGTCCTGGTCCTGACTTATGTCAGTACTTGGTATGTCCAGCAGAGGGCTGTCCCATATTAATGATTGATCATAATATGTTTGAATATTTGCAATCTACTTCAGGAATATTTAACTCTTCTGCTGGAGAGTGTTGAACACCATCATTTAACCAAACTTCATTTTACACAGATTAATGTTTAAAAAATGTTTCAGCATTTATGGATGAGGGGAATGCCTAACTAGAGAGAGAGAGAGAGAGAGAGGGCAAGAAATAATAATAATTAAGTTCTGACCGTGTTTGATTATCTTCAACGACGACCCCTGAAGAGAACAGCAACATGATTTTATTTTTTTTAAATCTTTTCCACCAGACCCACGAGTATTTACACGAGAAGTTACTCCAGAGGGCGCCCACAATATCAGAGAGGTCAAAAAGGGTAAAATGTCACAGCATTAATAATAATTTATGATTATTTTTTTACAAAGAAATCAGACAGGTCAGATTGATGTGTAATTTCTTTTTTTTTTCTAGGTACGCCGGGTGCCAGGGTCCAGTGGTCGGCTGCACAAAACAGAGGACGGCGAGTGGGAGTGGAGCGACGACGAGCTGGATGAAGAGAGTGAAGAGGGCAAGGCTGCTGTGGCGGCTCTACGAGTGAGAACGATCAATAACTGTCACTGTCAGCATTTGTATGAATATCTCCACGTCTTTGCCTTTTGACTCTGTTTTAAACTGTTCTCATTCCCATGTCTGTGCAGTAGCATGTTTGTCCATTGCCTCTCCACTATGAGTCTCTCACATACGTGTGTGTGTTATGTTCTGTCTGACGGTCAAGGAGCAGCAGGTGAAGCCTGTTAGCGCCCCCAAACGACAAGTGCGCTTCTCCCTCCCACTCGAGCTGCCTGCGTCCAGGGTTGTTTACCTGTCTTATAAATACAGATGGCATTCCACTAACAAGGAAGGACTCTCTCTTCGTCTCTCTCTCTCTCTCTCTCTCTCTCTCTGTCTCTCTATCTCTCTCTCTCTGTCTCTGTCTCTCTATCTCTCTATCTCTCAGAATGTTATATAAAATAGATGGCGGAAATAGTGTCTCCGATAACATTTGATTCTTGAAGTGGTCGAGGCGTGGCCTTCAGGAGTCTGCTGTGGTTATGTAATTATTACACAACACTACAGCATTTTATCTGTACAGTAGATACGTTATCAACAGATTTGATATGATTATGAAAAGACAAAGTTCCTTGAAGTGCAACTGAAGGAAAAACCTGTCTATGTTGAGACCACATAAGAAGCAGAGAAGCTGTGCCATAACTGAAGTGGACTATGATCAGAAACATAATTCTGTCTGCATTTGAAAAACAACTCATTTCGTCATTAGAGCTTTTTCAGTCTTCAAGAACATGACCAAATTGCAGGTTGCAGTGTTTTGATTTTTACCTGGAGCGGATCAGGTATAAAAGAGAAACCCTTCACAGACTGCACACAAATGAAGAACTCCTTCAAAACAACTATTCAGAATAAGAAAGAGAATCACGGCCACAGTTTGTTGCACAGTGATGTTTGAATAGAGTCAATGAACTCCAAGAAGTGAGAGGAACCTTTCCTGGAAGCCATCTGTATTTTTCGATTTCTCATTCTTTTTATTTCAACTGACTACATGAACTAAATCAATACCAGCCTAATTACCCATCAGTCCTTTCATTTTTCTGATGTTTGATCCAATCACTGCTGGGGGATTCAGAAGATGAAGTATCTCTGCTGCTTTCTTTCTGCTTTGTGACCAACCATTTGTTGACAAACTGAGAGCCTGAATCGTCCAGGTTTTTTTTTTGTTTTTTTTACCCAAACATCCACTTTAGTTGACAACTTGATACTGTAATGATTTGATGTGTTATTTGAGCCTGTCTGGGTTCATGCGTGGTGTCTGTTCAGGCTGTGAGAGCCGCACACTTTGTTTGAACCAGTCGACAGATTCAGACTTCACACGTTTGGTTCTGTGTGAAGTCAGTTTGTCATCATCTGCTCCTCCAGGGCTTCTGTCCGTCCTCAATCTGCCACCGCGGGTTTGAAGACGATGCTTTTGTTTCATTCAATAACAGTGTGACATTCTACTCACTCAATTTTGAAATCTTTAAGGAAAAATTAATCTCCAAACAACACTTTCACTCGTCTCCAACTCCAGACACCGGAGCACACTGTCGATTCACAGCAGCGTGCTCTGTGGTTGATGATTTACTAGGTTTTTCTCATTTTTTTTCTTCTTACTTTCTAAATTAAAACTGAAATTAAACAATATTAAAGGGTACCACATTGGTTCAGACAATAACTCAGCTCTTTAATTGAAATGAGTGTGCTTTTTAAAAAATTCAGATCCTTTTTTTTTGCCTCCTGCGTCTTTTGCTTCAATATGCTGTTTTGTTTAAGCTAAACATTTAGGCTGAAAACCATTTCTCATTCATTGCTTTTATATTTCTACTTATTCCCACCAGTCACCCAGAGTGAAGGACGCAACACAGAATTCAGAGGTGAGTTTCAAAAGTGCTTACACTGTATATTATATCCATATTACATCAAATAAAAGAAATGTGTAAAATTGGTCCCAACAGAACAGGAGATTTAGAGTGTTTTATTAAAACAACTTTAAGAAGAAAGTCATTCGATGAGCTGCTGTGTTTTTTATCTGGGAAAAAAATATTTTAAAAAAAGAAAAAAGACCAAATTTAAAAAATAAATAATAAACCACTAAACGCTAAATAAACTACAACTTACTGCAAAAGGCCATAACCCTAAATAAGAGCCAAGTTGCTAACTCAAAGAACCCTTAGCTGCAGCTTGTAATGAAGTTTTTTTTTTTTGTTTTTTTTTTTTGGAAATGAACCAAAACTGAGTCAGATTTGCTGAATCGTCCTCTGCAGGTTTTCCAGACTCCTGATCCCCCGAGTAATAAACTGCAGCCACCGACTGCAGGTCAGGCAGAACTACCTCAGGCTGCAGGCCAGGTTCCTCTGCAGCCCACACCAGTCAACACTCAACCCACTGCCCAGGCTGCAGCCCACACGGGCAGTATCGCTGCTGCTCCCACACAGGTCCGTGTGGGTTCCATTATCTGCCTCTGATGAGTCTTTTCTAAATGACGTCCTAATTGTTGCTTCTGTTCATGTTTGCTCCACAGGCTGCAGCCAATTCAGGGGACGTTAAAGCTCCCATTAGTTTGGTATTAAGGTTAAGAAATTCAAAGAAGGAACTCAATGACATCCGTTTTGAGTTCATGCCCGGCAGAGGTAAGAAAAAAAAAAAAACTAAACTCTGGTCATGAAAAGCAAAAACATGTTTTGCTTGACTTAGTTGTTAATTTTTGATTTACTTTAGAACAGGATCTGTGTGTGTGCGCGTGTGTGTGTATCACATGTTGTCACTGCTGATGTTTTCCAGACACAGCAGACGGTGTGTCTCAGGAGCTGGTGTTAGCAGGCCTGGTGGATGGGAAGGACTTACTAATAGGTCAGTCATGTATTATCATAAAACAAAAACTGACTAAAACTGATCCAATAAAATATCTGGAACCAACAGTAAACAATAGAAACAAGACACAACAAAACTCAGGAGACAAACATTTTATTTAACCTGGAAATATCTTTTACAGTTACTGTGCCAGAGTTAGTTGATTTTTAGTTCTTATTAATTCAGCAACCTATTTTTTAATAGTTAATGCATGCAGCTTGGTTGCGAAGAATTTAAATAAAAAACTTTATTGTTTGATAACAAAATATTTTACACTATATTCACTCATTTCTTTTTTTTTATTTCAGTTGCTGCAAATTTGCAGAAAATAGTCGATGAGCCACAAGCCAATAAAAATGTCACTTTCAAACTGGTAAGTTTAGGTTGAACAGTAGCCACAGACGTTTACTGATTTAAAGAAACCCTCTCACGTCATTCGTTTGTTCTGGTGGTTCCTATAAATGTGTGTCACTGTTTCCACAGGCGTCTGGAATCGAGGGCTCTGAAATACCAGACGACATCAAACTCATGGGCTTTGCTCAGCTCAGCATTAATTAAACTGTTGTTCTACCTGGAACCGTGACTTGCCTAAAAAATGTGAAAATTAAAAAAAAAAATAGTTTAATGCATTATTTTTTTTCTTTCTATGGCTGTAAAGAAACCACTACTGCCAAAGAAAACAGTATCGTTCTGTCACCCATAGGATTATGAGACGCCCACTGTCGGACGATGCATCAGTCTGGTTCGGACAGAGAATCTCTCGACA